AGTACGTGGCCAGGTCTCTGCAAGAAGAGAGCTGACCGCCTACGAGAAGCTGCTCCTCTGCCAGGAGGCGGGCTCTCGCTCGCCCGAAGTCTCTGAGCAGAAGCACTGGAAGCAACTCTCGGAAAAGTACGGCCTCCCTGTGCAGACTCTCAAGGAGTACTCTGGCAAGAAGGCCGTCTGGGAGGCTCTCGTGGAGAAGCACAAGCTCCACCCGAAGAGCAGAGCCTCTCGCAAGGCCAAGCGCTCTTGTCGCTACATGCGGCAAAAGGGCGGCGGTCGCAAGGCGGACTTTCCCGACCTCTTGCCCGCTCTGAAGCAGTGGCATGCGACTGAAAGGCAACACGGCCACTCTGTCTCCAAGCAGGACTTCTTTGCGGAGTACTTGACTCTCTTGGTGCAGAAAAGCCAGGCTCTGCTTCGAAAGGCCGAACTCTTGCCTCACGAAGACCCTGAGAAGCACTCTCTGCAGAAGCTGGCCAAGCTTGCTCTGGACAGGAAGCGCAAACTCTTGGCCTCAAAGAAGTACCGGCTCTCTTTGACGGACCGCCTGGTGACGGACTCTGGTGCGAAGTTCTTGGTGGCGGAGCAGGTGACGCACCTCTCTCCCACCGAGGAGAAGGTACGCTCTCAGCTGACCTTCCAGGCCTGTGATCGGGCCCTCTGGGCCATGACGTGTGCCTCTGAGGAGGCTCTGGCCTCTGAAAAGCTCGTGGCCGACCCTGCCTCTGTCCTGAACTCTCGCAAAGACTTTGTGCTCGGCATGAGCGACCAGGTGCCGCTCTGGGCCAAAGCTCAGCCGAAGAAGCTTCTCTTCAGCGAAGATGAGCTCTTGCAAGTTCATCCTGGCAGCGGAGACTCTCTTCGCCAGGAGCTTCAGGCTGCCCGAACAGCTCTGGAGGAAAGTCTGGGCGAAGACGGCCTCTCCAGGTCTTGGGAGACATGGACGAGCAGCCTTCCGACTCTAAGCTCAAGCCCGGCTCTAAGGTCAAGCGAGCACACTCTGAGGCGGACAAGTTCCGCATCACCTATGAGGCCCGGCAGAAGATCCACGGCCTCTGCGGTGATGGCACTCCCTTTGCTGAGGTGTCCGCTGGTCTCTTGGTGTTCCCGGGGAAGCACTGCCGCCTCTCGAACTTGGACTCTGAAGGCCGGTACATCTCCATGGAGCGGTACCGTGTGGGGAACTCTGAGGTTGTGCACCTCTCTGGCGAGAAATGCCGGTCTCTTCAGTGGGCTGTGAAACTGCGGGCTCTCTACCCGCAGGAGTTCTCTGAGATCGACATAATGCAGCAACCTGCCTCTAACATGGACGGTGTGCTCTTGAACTGGGTGGTGCAGCAGCAGGGCTCTGAAGAACCTTGCTCGCTCTACATCCGAGACTCTTTCGCGGCCATCTTCTCCTCTGAAGTCCAGCAGACTCAGCAGGTCGTGAACCAGGCCTCTGTCGAGATTCTCGGAAAGCTCACTCACTATCTCCAGGTGACGGACACCGACTTTGCTCGCTCTTTCAAGTCACTCTTCCGAGAAGCCTTGACCGAGCAACGGACCCTCTGGAGAGAGAAGAACAAGGGTCTCTTCCAGGCCGCTCTTACTTAGGACCTAATAATAAACTAAATGAAAACAATTGGAATCTCTCCCTTCGCTGGCAGGTGACTTACGAGCACATAGTCCTCTGCACCGTCGCTGCCCAACGTGCTCTGCAGAAGCGGCAGGCCGAGAAGGACTTCGTGCTCTCTGCCACCGTCCGCAACGGACTCTTGGTGTACCGCCCCTGCAACGGAGCTCTCGTGAAAATCTGCGACCAGGCCTGGGCCAAGGAGCTGTCTCTGGGAGTGGGAACAAAACGAATCCCAGAGAGTTGGCTCTCCGACCGGTACAAGTGGCTCTCCAAAGACGGTGTTCCGCAGCCTCCGGACTTCAAGCTCTCTTCCAACATCAAGGCCGTCTCGGACTTGATCCAGTGGAGCTATGACTCTCCGGCTCCTGCGGAAGATGGCGCCGATGACTCTCTGGACGTCCCGGACAGCATCCAGGAGGAGCTTCTCTTGCCGCTGAACAACAGCCTCTTCCTCAGGCTGTCCCCGGCTCTCCGTCGGAAACATCTGCGGCTGGAGGCCACCTCTGCAGACTACAAAGCTCTTCTGGAGAAGACGAAAGAGAAGGCTGCGGAGCGCCAGAACAGGGCTCTGGTCAGGAGGGTTCTGCGATCCAAGCTTCTCTCTGCTCTCGGTAAGAAGCTGAAGGAACGCAGCAAGAAAGAGGTCCTCTCCGGCATCGTGCCTCGAGCAACCACCTCTAAGGCGAAGAAGGTGGCCGCCTCTACCGTCAAGGACTCGGAGAAGGCCTCTGCCAAGGCCTCTGCCAAGAAGGTGCCGAAGCTCTCCGCGGTGACGAAGCCCTCTGTGACGACGAAGCCCAGCCTCAAGCTGAAAGCCTCTGCCGCGAAGAAAAGAAGAAGAAGCACTCTAAGAAGAAAGCAGCGGAGGCTCTCGCCGACAAGATGGTCGCAAAAGCCAAGAACGGCGAGGAGACCTCTGGCGAGGTGGATGCAAGCTCTTGGCCGCTGCCTCTGAACACCACGGTGCGAGTGGTCTCTGAAGAGGCTGGGGCGCTCTTCTTCGGCAGAGAAGGGGACGTGAAGGGCTTCTCTGACGGCAAGCTGCACCTCTTTTCTGCCTACGGGAGCTTCTCTGTCCCTGCCTCTCTCGTGCAGGCAAAGAACTCTGGCTGGGCCTCTCCAAGGCACTGGAAGGGCTTCAACTCTATGACCCGCGAGACTCTACGATCCATTCTGAGAGTTAGCGGTGCTCTTCAGATGCCTCTAGAAGAGAGGTCTTTCGACCACGTCCTCCTCAAGGTCCCGACCTCTTTCAGTGTTCTCTTGGAAGAACAGCACTTGCTCTGGGGCTGGGAGCTGCTCTCCTGGACGTGGCCTCTCGAGACGAAGGAGTTCGCTCTTCTCGAGCCCGCTCTGCTCTACCAGCTCGAGGTTGTGAGTGCAGGCTCTGACTGGCCGCACAAGGCTCTCGAGCAAGTCTTGGCTGGAAAGTGCCGCCTGCTCTGCCCCATCTGGTCTCTGGGCCCCAACCACTGGACGCTCTTGGAAGGGGAGAGGGCCTCTCCAGATGAGCCCTGGTCTCTCACTTACAGAGACTCTTTGCACCCACCCTCTGAGAATGCTTTGAAGCAGGCCAGGACTGTGGCTGCTCTGCTGGGGGTGCTCGACCCTGCTCTCCCGCCTGTGAACAACACTTTTCAAGCTTCGTCCGAGTGCGGGTGGTTCGTGCTCTCTTGGATGGAATCGATCGTTGCAAGCCTCTCCGAGGGACCTGCCTCTCGAATGTGGCCGGCTGAGCTCTGCAAGGTCTGGCAGAAGCAGCGGCTTCTGCCTCTTGAGAAAGCTCTGCAGAAGGAGACTCTGCTGGGGTGGGGAGGGTTCTCTGTGATAGTTAGGGTTTAAAGCTCTGCTGCCAGGAGAGCGACAAGCTCTCCGAGGAAAGCAAGGCCTCTCAGCAGAAGGCTCTGAAGCTCTCCAAAGCGCTGGAGGCCTCTCAGGCCAAGGCTGCCAAGGCTCTCGCAGCCTCTGCGAAGCTCAAGGCCTCTGCAAAGGCTGCAGCGAAAAAGACTCTCGAAGAGAACAACAGCCTCTTCCGGTGGAGCGATCTCTCCAAGGAAGCTGTCTCTGAGATCCGGCACCTCTACCTCTTCGGCCTGCAGAGGTGCTCTCGCTGCCGCTGGCAGGGGGGCTGCCTCTCTTGTGATCATGATTTTCTCTTCAAGTATCTCATGCGCAAAGAGGCTCTCAAGCGGAGCAAGGTGCCTCTCTTGACAGGACCAGGGAGCTCTTCAAAGCTGTAAACCCTTAAGTCTGGCTGGCTGGCTATCTCTCTGTCCTTTATCTTGCCTGTTTCTGTCTCTCCTCTTCCAGGGCGTCAGTTTGTAGTAGGAGTGCTTCTCTACTTAAACCTTAAAAATTTTAGGACGGGACGGGTTTTAGGACTATTGAGGGGTCTTTATTATTGTGTGCGGGCCGAGTTTAGCTCTATTGAGGGGACCTTTTATTATTGTGTGCCGGGCCGAGTTTAGCTCTATTGAGGGGACCTTTAATAATCACGAGCTCACATTAGCTGCGGCCGGGAGTTGTCACCACTGCATCGACGAGACAAGGCTGAAGTCGTGCCTGTTAAAGCTATCGTGGCATTAGCAGCTCTGATATGTGGTCTAAATCTGGCCCAGGGGCGATGACTGCCGTGGAGTTCGAGTACTTGGCTGTGCCAGTCCCCCAACATAAGCTGCACCGCTGTGGCACTGAAAAGCGAAAGTTCCGGGGTCTCGAGAGAGCTGCGGGTGGTTCAACTTGTGGATCTCTAGTCTCGCATGAGTGCAACAGCTTCGCCTCTAACGACTACTTCCCAAAAGGGTACCGCTGCCTGGCTGGCACTTTGGTTGGCTACATAGGGCTGCAATCCCAAGGCGTGAGCTCGGTTTCGAATTGGAGGTGGCGCAGAAGGCGAGGGATACAATTATTGAGTATTCCGTCAGAGCCAGGTTGGGTTCCTTCGACTCTGTGTGCATGCACGTCCATACAATGTCTGAGACAAGCGCCGTCTCAATGCCATTGCAGTGCCCATGTTTGCTTGGCAGCGCACTCCAAAACATCTTGAGCCCGCAACTCATGTTTAAACGTTCAGACTGAGCCCAAACACATTCGCATGGTTGGGTGAGTCGGCAAGCATAACTACATCGGGTTGAAAAGACTCCTGTCAGTATTTTTCAGTATAGTGCTAGTCAGTTTCAGCTCAGGGTTGGTTAAAGCCTTAAACACGGTCAGCAAGCAGTGCCGTCGTAATGCAGGGCAGCGTAATTGTCAAGCTCAGCGCCTGCATAGTGGCCACCCGCGGTTGGTGGGTTGCCGTCCCGAACTTGAAAACTTATTATCGTCGCGATTGCCGAGGGGCAAACAGCATGTTTACAAGTATTACTTAAATGGTGTTCCTACCATGTCTTGCATCGGGGGTTGTCACACGATTTTCAGCCACTGGGGTGGAGGGTGGACCAAAACCTTTGCGCGAGCCTGGCGCCAGCATGCCTCGAGCTCGTTCACCGGGGTCAGCTGGAATTCCAAAAACAAGAAGTTCCAAGCGACGGTTTCCTTCCAAGGGATATCATATTATGCTGGCTGCTTCAACTTTGAGGTCGCTTACGATAATTTGCTGAGGCAGTTGTGCCCAAAAGGTGCTCGACTCAAGAAGTCGCTGAACTTTCCGTCGTTGTCAGAAGCCAATTTCGAGGAGTCTTTGCAGGATGCGCGGGCCCGTGCTCTCGCAGGTGCTGCTACATCTGCAAAAGAGGAGGAGTCTTTCATTCGTCTTCATGATCGCTTCTCGGCAACACCTCTAGCTCTGACACACGAAATAATCCGTGTCTCTGGCTCCTCCAGGGTCGATGCTCTGTTGCAGCGCAAGGGTTGTGATGAAGGCCTTCCTCTCCAGCTCAAGGCTGCCAGCATGTCGGGCAATTTGAGGAGGTCTTACTACTTCTCACGAGCCAGCGGCTATTGCGGAATGCTTCTTCTCTTGATTTCCCTAGACCGTGATATCATGTGGGCGATTCCAGGGTCCGTGGTCGCCAAGCCAACCATCACGATTCGGCTTGATTCGGAAGCGGACGAGGCATATCGCGTGATCGACCTGGGTTCAACACTGGAGCAACATTTTTTGGACCAAGAAGCGATTGCACATATTTCACTCAAGCATGCTCGGCTTTGGTGCAGTCAAAGTCACCGGGTGGAAGAATATGCGCATCTACAGATGGCAGATCTATTCGCCCGTGTTGGCTTTCAACTCGAGAAGGCCCACACCTTGACCGCAGTCGATTCTGTACTTGTTGCGGAGGGCTGCCGGTGGCTCGTTCAAGAGAAGGCATCGTCTCGGCAAAAGCCTCGCGGCGACTTCTGTGTGTCGCTTCGAAAGGGGAAGTCGTATCAAGCATATTCCGACTCCGATTTCGATCTTTTGCTTGCCGCGGTCTTGGAAGACAACAAATTGCTTGGCGTGTTCCTCATTCCAGTTCAAGTTCTGCACAAGCATGGGCTGGTTGGTGGCAAGCCCAGAAAACTATTGCTGTGGCCGCCATGGAAGTTGCCCGTGCTGGAAGCACGCAGGGTCAAGACAGCATGGCAGCTGGAGTGTTTCGTTGACCTGCGGGGCTGGAGTCAATCGGAAGCGGTCCTCGAGAAAGCAAGTAATCGACTAGTCCAGCTGCTGCGATTTGTCCAAACATCACCAGCTTCTGAATCGACAAAACTGTCCTCACTTGTGGCTTGGCAGCTTCTCCCTGGAGACACGTATACATGCACAAAGACGCATCATGCTCTGTCTCGGTCACGTCCAGAAGTTTGAGCCCTGAAGGTGTAAGCTGCTCCAGAGCATGAGCTAGCTAAATTGCATGTGTCCGTCCTGCCGGCAGGTCTACACCGCTTGTATAGATGCCGGCTATGTCCCGACCCCGGAATTGAGTTGGCTGAGACAGAACTCGAACGATTTTCAAATCTGCGTGTGGGGGGAGATGCCGACTCTGTCTCGAGTATAAGTAATGGTACCGGCATGCTGGTCAAAGGCTGCTGTTAGACGACCCAGCTCGCGTCTTGTGCTCCTGTGGCACTTGTGCCACAGCCCTCGATCTGCTCCTGTTTAGTTTGGGTTCAAGCCGACAGCCGGCCGAAAAGCAACACGTGTGTAGATCCTCGCCGGCTTCAAAAACAAGGCCCTGCGGCTTGTCTCGTGTAGTCGAGACATGAGGCCTCCGCATTCGGGAGCAAGGAGGATGCTTCTCAATGTTTCCGACAATTCAGTTAATGCGAACTGGATCAAGACCATGCGCCGCAGCAGGCATAAAGCTTGAGCAAACACTGATGTCAGCATTGCCAGGTCATCATGTCGTCTGCTGGTGGACAGAGGCCTCCTGCCAACCGAATGACGCTGCAGCCCCTCGGCGAGCAAAGGCAGAGCAGTGCATTTCGAGGTGCCGTTTTGCATTCTATATTGCTCATTGTGCAGCTTTGTGCAAGCTGCTTTGCCCGCTTCATGGAGCCTCCCAGAAGGGGTTTGCAAATCTGATTGTGTCCTTGGTTCTAGAGTCTGGAGGAATGCAGACTCGGATTCTTTGCCTGCCTAGGACCTTCAAGGCGCGCTTGGGCGGAGCCTCGAAAGGCGGAATCGTGATCTTTGCGAGCGTGCGAAGTTTCATGCAAGTTCAATATAGGCATCGGATTGAGGCATGGCAAGCTCCCAATTTGTCAGATATAGGCAAATATAGCAAAATCCAGGAGAACTCAGACGGGCACAAGCGAAGAGTATGCTTTCGCAAAAACGAGCTTCGACCAGCCTTAATAATGCAGGCTTCAAGCTGCTGAAGAAGAAGCGCGATGCCCTCAAGGCTAAGTTTCAGGCACTTCGGACCTGCACCGGTAGTCCCATGCCGACGCCAAGGGCAGTCGTGAGTGGACAATTTCGGAGTTTGTTTACAGTGGTTTGTCAAGTTTAGGTCGAAGGTCGCTCTTCACTGAATCGCGCAATCTAGCTTTGTGGACGCAGTATAAGCTAACCTCACACGGTCGCAACTGGGCTGGCCAGATTGGGCTTCCAGCTTTTGCTCTCATGTATGGGCGGAGAGCACTCAATTCTTTATCCTGTATGGCTTGTTTTCGCTGTGTCAGAACCTAAGGCACTGCTCAAAGATGCTGGGCTGCAATTTGGCGACTACATCCCAAGCAATGGTCACGTGAAGTAGGTTTTGCAGAGTATCAACGTCCAGGACCACAGAGGTCCAATCTCATCGAGGTTGCAGTTTCATCACTGCCCTGCCATCGTTGCCCTCAACTCTCTCGACCACGCATTTCCAATTCTATCCCTTGACTTGCATGTGCCTCTGAGGAGATCGTAGACACGAAGCTGGCGGTCGGCCAAAGCCTCAAGGACCTGCCTGGGAGTTGAGCGAAGGATGCCATGAACTCCCTGGCTCAGGCTGCAAGGTCTGAAATGGAAGTATACCGACACGTGTAATTACGCTTTGATAATCAACAGACTGGCCATTTTTGCCTTAACCCATCTTGCTGTGTACAGTCCAGACAAACCGTATGAAGTTGTTTGACCGAGGCGTACCCCAACATAATCCCAAGCCACGTGCTAGATCTGCACCCCGCAGGATGGTGCCTTTGCTCTCGCCAAGGTGCGCGGCAACAGGTTGTAAAATAGGGGGCTAAGTCACCGCTTCTGGGCTTCTAAAAAATTATATATATATATATATATATATGTGTGTGTGTGTGTGAACTTATTCACCTATGCTGTTGATTTGTCTATGTTTCTCTATTTGTAGACCACAAAACTAGGCGGCTTCAGGTCCATCAGCTTTCGGACTGAAGATTTCTTAGCAGTACGTCGGAAGCCTTTGGCTGAAGTGAAGGGCTCGTGGGCAAGGGAGTTTTGCGGCATCGGTTTCGTCAGCGTCTTTCCGCAACCAAGCCGGCATTACTGTATTAGTGGGTCTCCAGGGTTATGGTTTGCACGATTGTTTGGGAGGGTCTTCCGAAACCCTAAACCCTACAATCCTAAACCCTATATAACCCTGAACCCCAAACCCTGCAGGGATGTACCCCGCTTAGAGGCCCAGGGGATTTAGCAAGTATAGTAATAGGTTATAAGTAGAGTTATAAGTCGCCTAAATGGAGTTACCCCAATTATAACCCTACGTATAACCGACTTACTACGTCCCCAGATGAGGAACCCTATAGATCCTTTCAGGAGCCCTTGAAGGAACCCTATAGATCCCTCTAAGGAGCCCTTTAAGGAACCCTATAGATCCCTTTAAGGAGCCCTTTGAGGAGCCCTTACTAAGTCCCCTGGGCCTCCACGCTTTGCTCTAAAGGCGCACTACGCCAGCTCTGGAGATGACATCGCCTCCACAGTCATCGAGAGGGCCGGGAGCATTTCATGCTACAGGGGCCTTAACAAATGGGGATTCCGAAAAAGAGAGGTACCTTATCATGGAGTCGTTATAATAAGGATCCTACTATTTAGGGCAGAGAGGGCCGGGAGATTCTCATGGCCTGTTCCGCACCAAACCTCGAAGCTTATAGGATCAGGGTCTCTATAGCAAGATATAGGCAAATAAACAGATCGAAATCAAATTAGTAAAATGAATATACATATATATATATATAATGTACAGGTAGTATGTGTGTATATATACTTGTTTATTTGTTTAATTAATGCCTATAGAGTGTCTAGGATTTTTGTTGAACTTAGGTTTGAGTACAGCTGATGCCTGAGATTGTGTCAAGCCAGCCTTGTTTTCGCGAATGCTAGCCCGTCCATATAGGCAAAGAAGCCAACCTTGACGACGAAGCTGTACCCAGACAACGTCGCCGGCGCAGGAGCCTTAATGTTTGACGTGAAAACTGCGTGGAGGTCCAGCTGCATGGAGAAAGTCAGAGTTCGTGTGACCATGCACTAGGTCTCGATCCCGGTGTTCAAGATGAACTACGACTCCTCGCAGGACAGCTCAGCAACATGGCTTTTAGTCAAGAGTGGATGTGTTACTAACCCTAAGGCTCAAAATGGCCCAAAAGCCTTGTATAATGTGGTCTTTAGGTCCAAAAGCCATAAAAAGTGAGTCTTTAGAGCCTTAGGGTAACGAATCAACCGTCTGGTGTGATTTTGTCATTTACGCGGTTTCAGCAAGGCCCAGACCATGGGGGTTGGATCTGGCGGCGCAGTCCTGAATGCCACGCGCGAAACCTATGTGAAAGCCATGCCACTTGGCCGTTGCTGACAGGGTAGTTTAATCTTTGCTGTTGTCCTGCTCCCTTCGTCTAAATGTTGTCAGCACCTATCTCCAAGATCCATGGGTAGCGCATTTTCTTGCCCAGACAACCCGAGAGCTCTGAACCAGAAATGCCCGTCTCTTGCGAGGGAGTGCATCGTGAAGCTCGCGTCATTGCAGACGGCCTTCCACACCCTGGATGAGGAAATCAAGATGACCAGCCGACGAGCGGCTTGGACAGTGAAGCGAAGATGCGCACTTTGTGTGCATGTATGTACCTTACAAAACAAGTTAACCACATACACAGATGGTTCACAGCATCCAGTGAGAAAGGCGTGGCACTTAACCAAAGCATACTGTACCAGGCCAAGTGAGCGAATTTCCAAGGTAAATGCCTTGGAGTACGTTCTGATTCCCAGGATCGAGGCCTGCGCCAACTTGACAAAGGGTGTTTGTTCGTTTGTTTGCGTCTCTGCTAGTTTGACACAGGAACTGATTCATTACATTACGCAAGAGATGGACGAAGAGGCCTGGAGATCGTGGTTTGTAATTGAGGGGCAGGAGAAGCAGTGAGACATGTGGCTTCAGGCTCGTGAAGAGTTCTTCAGAGTGAAGAAGGTCGTCGAGAAGAAGAAGGTCAAGATGGTGCAACTCTTACACACGAGCATGGGTTGAACTGTTGTGGCGAAGTTGCCAAGCATGAGTGGCCCAAGCAAGCGTTCCTCACGACAGCTTCGTTGTTGCCGCTGCCGAGGCCAGAGAGAAGGAGTCGGCGCTGAAGCAGGGCAAGGAACAAGTCGCAACTTGCAAGAAGTGCATGCAAGGTTCCACATCTCGGAGTTCAAGCACGGATCACAACTCCATGAAGCAAATATTGTCAAGTCAGGCTACTGTAGGCTTAGGAAGGCTCTACTCATATATATATATATATATATATATATATGTATGGGCTCAGGCAGCAATCGATGCAGCTTGGCTTGCAATCAGTCTCCTTCCTGCAGCGGCTGGTTAACTTTGCATAGCACACAGTCATCACTCATTTGGGGCATGTCTGGGTATCCCAGAGTGTTGATCCGCGTCTTTTTGGCAAGACTTCCATGAGCTTGATCATTTTAACTCCACCCGAAATCACGCTTGCGAATCCTTCAGGCTTGCTGCTACGGTTCAACGTAGGGTCTACTTTCCGCGAGCGGTTTCTGTTTCCATTGTCTCATCGAACCTTCGTTATGCTCTTAGTCTGCACCGAAAACCCGCCAAAACACCCCATACCGTGAACTCGAAACGGGCCAGGCACCTAGCATCCTGCAGACCAAGAAGGATGACGACCTCGTGTTCTGATCGAGGGCTTAATTCCCTGCGAGGAACACCCCAAAGCTCTTGGTTTCCTGTTTTGTTGCTTGCTGAACTCCTCGCTGCCCTCAGAGATTTCGGTTTTGTAAACTAGTAATTATGCGCTAGGTGGCTTTGTGTGGTGCTGTGCAAAGCCATGTGTGTACACATGTGCATTTACATATATGTTTGTGTGTATATATATATATATATATGTATATACACCTACACACACACATATATATATATA